GAAGCTTCACTAAGCCTGTTTTTTGCAGTTGAGGCTTGCATTCCTCCAACGATTGATAAAGTCGATAACTGGTTCCCCCTTTCGTTGACGAGTATTTGTAAGTTCTATCATACTCACAGTACGTATCGTACTATAAAAGCGATTGAGGAATTCTTGCTCTAGCTGATCCCAACTATCGATAGATCCAGCCTCGAGGTCTGTGTACCAGTCAAAAGCATTTCCTTTTAGCGAGTGGACAAATTGCTTGATGAGGTAATCTCCATAAGTCCCAGCATTGTTGCACGTCTCCACGAAGTGAGCCACATGTTGCTTTGGGTTACCTTTACCATCAAACTGTTGAAACTTTGGAGGTTGATAGCCAGAAGGCATCTTCAACATATCGACCCTTGAAGTGTACGGCTTTGCATACGTAAGGGAGGATTTGGCAGCAACTTCACATTTGTTCTTAATGGTTCCTTCAATGAACTCTTTCAGTTGATCGATTGGAATCATTCCTTCAGATGAAACAGGGATAGTCTTAGTGGATGCTGCCTGTCTTGGAGGAGAGTCACTCTCTAGAACTTCTGGGAGCTTGCCGGGTGCATGGGTGGATTCTTCTTCCATCAAGATTCCCACCCTGTCTGTTAGCTTATCAATTCTAGCCTCTTGATTTTGCATGCATTTGGTCAAGCCAGCGATAGCTTCCGTCAAGTTTGCCAACTGCTCCTCTACGGATGAAGTATTTGTCACCATAGCTTGCATGATTGTCGTGGACGACGGAGAGTAGCATGGATTTTCACACAGATTGATCCTTGATCGGCTCACGCTATGTGGTGTAAGTGGGGAGGATCCATCACTTGAAGCATCATCATCTTCCTTCATGGCAGAGTGCTTGGATCCGGAGAGGTCAGAGCAAGAGTTTTCTTGATCTTTTCAGCAATATCGCTTCCTCCTTCAGATGCGTTTGTGGAAAATCTTGCTCTTTTTGAGGATGAAGATCCGAAAACAGGGGTTGATGCGGACGTCACTTGGGGTGCTTGTTGTCCTAAAAAGCTTGCTTTGCTCCTCGTAACTGGTCTGAAGCTTCCAAAGGTGACATCGAGGATGTTTTCCACATCAGCATAGAACTTGGAGTTAGCAGCCTTGGTGGAAGTTGAAACGGAGTTGATTTTCTTTGAAGCCATTTCAATGTTCTTGGTATTTGGTGAATGAAAAGTTGAGATGAGAGGTAGAGATTGTCCCACTGGGCGTGCCAGAATTTGTAGACAATAAATTGCGGACGAGAAAATAAAATCAAGACCGAAAAATATTGCAACAATCGTAGTATTTTATTTTGAATATTTGAATGTTACAATCTCTTTGAATCCTCTGATTCTTCTTTTCAATGGTAAATAAATTCAAGGGCCTTTGAGCTTGATCTTGAATCTATGTTTGTTGCCACGAACGATGATCTTGTTCTTGAGCTTGAGCTTGATTGTTTGGACTTGAACTTGATTTGGTCTTCGTTCTTGAGCTTGAACTTGATTTGTTCTTCGTTCTTGAGCTTGAACTTGATTTGTTCTTCGTTCTTGAGCTTGAAGCTTGAAACTTGTGGAGGAATTTGCAGCGTTTGATCCACGAGCTCTTTCTTGCTTCTTGTTTTAACTTCTGGTCCCTTTTCTGAGTTATGAAGACCCCTATTTATAGTTGTGGAAGGGAGGAGTTGTGATAAGAACAAACTCTTTCCGACCAATCAAATTGAAGTGTGACATGGCCGCATTTGATTGGCCAGAACATGTCACTTGCACACGTGTCGCGATTTCATTGGCCTTTTAGTGTGACTTGGCATGCCTTATTATTTTGACACGTGGCATGATCCCATTGGCTCTTCCGTTTGACTTGGCGTGCCACGTCATTTGACACGTGGTACTGGGCCTGTAGGAAGATGACATCTTGGGCCTGATGAGATTGGCTCATCATTTGTAGCCAATTAAATGGACTAGCCCAATGGATTAAGACTTACTTATTTAATCCATATACATTGGACTTGTAATTAATCCAATTATATTAGCCCAATAAATTTATTTGAACTAATATATCTTGAATTTTAAAATATAGTCCCAATTATTTTACGGATTTAATTTAATAGAATTTATATGCCTACAGTAATCACGTAGGATTCCTAACGTGTAGTATTATATCCTAAAACTAATAGGATTATAAAGCTAATATCTAGAATTTCGGTTATGTCCTTTTATTTTGAGTTATTATGCTTAATATTATAAGGTTATTTTTGTAAACCGACATGGTATTCATGCTTTTATAATAACTAATCTTAGGGTACGCGCTTTGCGCGTGTATCCTATATTCAAGAATATACGATTTTGAGAAAATCTCTTTCTATCTTTCTCATATATACTACATAATGTGTTTGATGGTAAAATAAAAATTAGAAAAAGTAATCTGCGATCACATAAGTACTCAAATGCCTTATTATTATTGTTTTCTCGTTTGCCTCCACCAATGCTGAGTTAATATTTACAAGAAGTAATGTATAAAAAATATAGGGAGTTGCCATTCTTTATAATGAATGAAGAAAAATTGCAACTCATTTAGAATATGTTTTGTCTTCTAATATTTTATCCTTATCGCTTCAAGTCTGCTCTATCTCTAATTTCTCTTTTCGCCAATATTATTCGTATAAAAATAAATTTATATACCATATGAGTTTTATCAACTTGAAAAGTAATTTTCGTATATGAACAGTTTTAAAAGAAGTAAAATGAATTTATTTTGCTATTAGTTCTAAAAATTTAATTATTTACTTTTAAAAATCATTTATTTTTATTCATATTTTAGTATGAATCGTCTAAAATTTTATATATTTAACTGTAGTTATAATTTTATCCAATAAAAAGCTATTTTTAAAGAGTAANAAGCGCTTAAACCACATGTAAAACCTGTACCGGGCGCCGGAACCAAAATACGGGCCCGATACCAACACGTTATAAACCATTTTCATTTCAAATTTCTTTAAAAATTTCAAAAAAACAATTTCTTTTAAAAATTCATTTCTCGGGCTCGAGACCTCGGATTTCGATTCCGGGCATACGCCCGAATCCCATATTTTTCTATGGATCCTCCGGGACCGTCCAATTACGGGTCCGGGTCCGGGTCCGTTTACCCAAAATGTTTACCAAAGTCAACTTTAATCATATTAATACCAAAATTCATCATTTTTCACACAGAATTCATATTTAAGCTTTCCGGCTTCGCGCCCGGACTACGCACGCAAATCGATGCAACTAAAAAAATGAGGTTTTCAAGGTCTCGGAAGCACGTTATGAATGAGAAAACAGGTGATGACCCTTTGGGTCGTCACAATATCTCTTTATCTCTCATTTAAACTTTGAGATTTTTTACTTTAAGTTTCAGATTATTAATGATAATAAAATTATCATGTAACTTAAGAGTTATTAATTCTCTTTTTCAACAAATCTTCTTATTCGCCATTTTCTTTCACGGGTTTGGCAAGGATATACTTTAATTGATCTTGAGGCTTAACCTTTACGTCACTAAAATTAGGGAGTATACTAACTTTTTATCACCAAACATTATAAAGAACATTCATAAGCATTATGAAATTAGAAGAGGAAGAGAAATCGAGTGGTTGGTATAAATGACGCAACTTGGTAAGTAGTATATTTTAGAAATATTTATAAAGTTCAAAATATTGGGCTAGGGATTTACATATATTTTGAGTTGCTACATATTTGTAGATTTTACTTAGTTAAAATATAGAAAGCATTAATGATCAAACTATTTTTAAAATTTCAAACTCCTAAATATTAGGATTTCAATTTCCTAAATATTAGAAAAATAACCTGAAAAAAAAACAATTTAGTCCAGTATGAAATCAACATATAAAAGGTAAAAAGGCAAACGATATTATATCCAAACAATAATTATTTACTTATTCTTTGTTGACTTTGTTATTTTTGGTTTCCTTGTTCGTCATTATATCCAAACTCATTTTTCTCATTTGAACTGATGATATAATTTTTGATTGAATTTTTCAACCAAAGGAGAAGATAATATATCTTGATATTCTGGATCATTTTCTGATCCAAAGAAAAATTATTAAAATGTGTGCAACTTAGTTTGGTGATATTCAATATTCACGATTGTTATTGGATCTTGATAAATAAGGAATTGAATTGAATTTTTTTATTTTCTTCTTTGGATATGAATTTGACTAAAGATTATTTTACGAAATTCAGATAAGAAAATAAGTTATATAAGTTAAAATTTTATTCGCTGTTGAATTGCTAAATATTAGAACTCCATTCGAATAATCCAAAAAAATAAAGATTAATAGCAAAATGTTAGTTAATTTTAAAGTTTTAATGTTATAAATATAATTTGAGTGATATAATATCTGACATAAAATATAACTTACATGTTATCCATCGTTAATGATTAAAAGATTTATATTAAAAGTAGTAAATTTATAAGTCAACTTAAACTCGTTGTGCACATGTAAAAATTTGGATTAACAGTGAAAACATGCTAATGATTCCTGCAAAAATTAAAACGAAGGCAGAAACTTGCAAAAGTCCTTTGTTATAGTTCCAAAAGTGTTAAAACTTGTAAACATGAAAGATTTAAATTTGAGGAAAATAGTTACACGATTTAAATAAGAAAATAATATTTATAAGTAAAATTTTACTCAATTTAGATTCCTAAATATTAGGAGTTTCTAGATACCTTAAAGGAAAAATATTTAATAAATAAATTTTAACTTATCTTAATGTCCTAAATATTAGGTAAATAATTAAACTACAATTACAATTTTGTCCAATGAAAAATTTATTTTTAAAGGGTAAAAAATGTTCGTTAAGGGCCTTCGTGCTTTTAATATAGTATAGATATAAATATAAATATAGATAGATAAATATAGATATAAATTAGTTAATACTCACAATTAAATATAAAATAAATATTTATATTGGAACTAATAATATTGTTATCTCGATAACCAAACGACTGGTAAGAGGAAATGCTTGCTGTTACATATTCCTATGGAAATAAGAGAATAGGCAAATTTGTAATTTGATGAAAGGTGGTACCCAAATTGCAAAAGGAAAGAGACATACAAGTTGCAAATAAACGACGTCATAGCAATTTACTCCAATTACTGTTCGTTCTTTGGATTTGAAGTTTTGGTTCCAAAGACCCAGTTTTGAAATAAAGCAATTCTATTGAAATCCCAACCCTAGCCTAGACAAATACTCGCTATTCATTGAAAGAAGGTAACACTCGCTATCAATTGCTATTTAAGCAGATGAAGAGAAGCAGGAAAAGGAGATAAAGAAGCAAAAAGAGCGTGCAGAACAGTTGATGACTGCAGGAGATATGGATTGTTCTGAGAAGCAACTGGAGCCAGTTGCAGTCTAAACCCTTGAAGAAATTAGAGATATGGTTTTACTTTTTTTAGAGTCTCTTTTGCTTACTTTTTGGATGTAATTGCAGTACTTTCTTAGTGCTGGTTTCTTTAACATCAGTAACACTAACACTTACCAGTTCTGAAAAGAGAACTTGTTGGTGAGCTTGTATAGCCTTACAAGATAACAATGGCTTTGTTTCTCTTCAAATATATGAATTCCAATTTCTCCTTCTTGTACTTTGCAAGACAACTTGGATAGGTGTCAGTTATACATCATTGCTAATGCTGGTTTCTTCAAAAGTGATGACTGTCTCAAATTTTTCTTTACTGCTTCTTCCTTTTATTTTTGTGTGCTTTTGTTTTGATAAGTAGTCAATCATTTGTGATGCCACCATGCGATGCTTATATGATTGTTGATCTGGTACTTCTGAGAAAGTAGTGTTGTTGTTTCACATCTCCAAGTTTAGCTATATCTTATATTTAAAGGACGCTGTTCATCCATTCTTCAATCTGATATCCAACTGCAAAAAAAGACAAGAGGAGCTTGAAGAGAGGAGATCAAGAATCTAGTTAATGAAGTAAAGAGATTAAAAGCAACATGTGATGAGCTTCTTTAAGAGGAAGCTTTGTTGGTAGCAGAAAAGGAAGGACAAAGACATTGAACGGATTTGGCTCAAAATTTGGAGGAGGAAGAGATTAGACAAGGTCTTCATAGGTAGAAACCTTTCCTTTTCAGTTAAATATTTTGGTTTAATCTTTTCGTGAGAATTATTTGTAGCTTTACCAATCCTTGTCCATATATGGAAAAAAAATTCTTTAGAAGTTGATCCACTCAAATGGTACGATATTCCTCCCCATGATGTAAAAAGGTTAGTTTTCAATATTATTCTCTTCTTGTTGTATAAAGATTCTTTAGTTATGCTTGGTCTCTTAAAGTAGGTTACCCCGTTTCTTTAGAAAAGAGTGATTTAGGTTATGTTATGTGTAATTCTTGCAGAAGCTATTCTAGTGTGAAAATGTGGAACATTTTAGTTACAGGGAGCTCTATTGAGCACATAAGTTTTGTAATTTTTCTTTCTTTTTCTTTTTTCTTCTTGGTAGGGATTATGCTTCTTCTGAGCTATTTCATTTATCAGTTTATGTTGGTCAAACAGAGAAAAAGAAGTTTGGAGCATTTTTCTGGTTGCTTGTTAATCTTTTGTACTTAATATCTCTTTCTTTCGTACTTACAAATTTATGTTTATGTCTGTTGTTTTAGTTTCTTTCTATCGTTTTCGTTCTGGACTGAGGCATAGTTGATTGATGGCTTGATTATATATTGTGTTAGTGATGGTGAGAGTGATTATACTTCATTAAGATTTCTTGTTTGTCATACCTTTGTTGTTGACTGAATTTGGTGTGATGCTCTGTATGTCTTTCAGGTTATTTGCTCATTGTGTAATACTGAACAGGATGTGAGTTTCCTCAATTGTTAACGACTCAATTCAAGTTTTTATATTTGTGAAGCTGAGGTAAAACTTGCTTTCTGTTCCTGATTGTCCTTCAGCTTCAACAAACATGCATTCAGTGTGGGGTTTGCAGGGGAATTACTTTTGCTCAAAATGCAACTTCTTTGATGATGATGTAAGTCTCTTAGATAATTTTACTTATAATATTATGTTGGCTCCATATTTATACCTTGCTTAAACAAGATGATTTGTATCTTTAGGTTGCGAAGAATCAATACCACTGTGATAAATGTGGAATCTGCAGGTTAATATCTTTTCACACTGTACAATATTATCAGTTCTTAAATGCATTTTCCTAAATTACCCCGTTCATATGAACAACGTCAAAAACATCTGTGACATAGGCTAGATCAGTGGTCATAAAATGGGCTGACAGTAATCTCTCTTTGGAAGGAGCTTTGAACGCTAAGTAATGTTCCGTCAACGAGTAGATATGTAGCCTGCATTTGCTTGTGGTTGATTATAGATGGATGGATTACAAGTGATTCAGTGTTTTCTAGTGTTCTGATATCTATTTTCTTTCTATACACTACTATTCTAATAGGTAAAAGACTCGATAACGACATGGGATTAGATATTCTACTGTGCGACCGTGTCAAACTGTTAATCCCAGCCCATCAAAGTGGCCAAAATGTTTCTGATGTATAAAGTGTTGCTTTCTCTAGACTATCAATTTTCTTCACCAGCACCATTTCAATTGCTTACATTAGTTGGTGGTCCTCACATGTCTCTTTATCTTTTCCGTGTGATATTTATTGTGTCTGATATGTTATTTCTTCGTTTTCCAGCTTAAAATATTTGAAAACAGAACGGATGGCAAGGAAAATTTCTTTCAATGTGACAGTCGTGATGAGTGAGATGCTTAACCTTGACTTTAAACTTATTTAGCAAGAAAAGATCTTATTAGGTTTATTATGTATGATTAGCCATGGAAGATCTGACCTTTACCTCCCTTTTTTTTTCAATGCAAAGAGTATGAATAATTTCTTTTTCAGGATGCTGCTATTGACATTGTATTTGAATAATTCCTCTACACTGACAAGTAGAGGCGGATTTTGAATTTGAACTTGACGGTTCATACTTTAAGTTCTTACTGTTGAATTCATTGTACTTTTGAAAAACTCTGGGTCAGTTGAATCCATTGAACCAGATTTCATCCGCCTTTGCTGACAAGCTTTATTTACTTTTCTAATTCTAGGTTGCCTTGACACCTATGCCTGAAATGTATTAGATAAAGATGGTAAGGTACCAGTTTGTCGACCCATTGTAATTTTGTACAAGAATTTGATCACCTTATCTTACATTTGAACTTCTTTGAAATTCCTTTTAGGTTTGGATTCTTTGCATTAACTGTGCAGAAACATCTGAGGTTAGCTTCCATATAATGGGATGGCACATAAATGCCTCAGCTGCAGTCCTATAATAACTGCAGATAAGAGGCACCAGTTCATGCACTAATATTACCGAAATGGTCAGATGAGGTTCTTAATTGAGACTTAAGACAAGAAACGTTGCCCGAACCATGTTGTATATTTGAGCAAGGTTGACCTCCTTTGCTTCTCTCATGGTACACTCCTCTACCCGCCGAGCCCCTTCTGCTTCAAATTACTCTTGGCAAGCATCGAATGATGAATTTAACGCCTAGGACTGCAACATTTCTCTATGATTATACCTTAATTTTTTTCCAACTAGTTTTCTCTAAGAAGCATTGAGGAGCAAGTTACTAGTCATTACTTGTAAACAGGGAGATGTTGAAACAGTCTTCACTTATTTTTTTCAAGTAAACTTTCTGTATTACTCCATGCGATGGAATTTCTCAGTTTTATCTGTATGTCTGCTATGAATATCTTGAAATGTCAACTGATGATATTTCCGACCAAATATTAGCATATACAGACGCGGATGGGTTAAAGTTCTTAGTATTAAACCTATTATATTCTTAAGAGATTTTTACATTCCTATGCCACATAGGAAACCTTGTTACCCTCAATGTTTAAGGTTTGACTTAATTACACTTAGTATATCATTACCAATTCTATACTATAATTAATTAAGGGTATAATTAATTGTACATTTTTTACTCCTTAATTAAAGGAATCCGTACGTTTCTCTCTCCTTACCCCTCAGTCCCACCCACGTTTTACCCATACTCACGTTCTTTTTGCCATTTTCCATCTTCTGAAACCAAATTCTCCCTCTAAATTCACAGAAAATTGAAGAAATCCTTCAACAAAGTTGGTTCCCCATTTTACTCCAGTTGAAGTTCATCAATGAAGAACAACAAAGTTCATCAAAATTGAAGTCAAATCTTCAAAGTTCATACATACATTTACCTTCAGCTTCAAATTTTCTCAATGAAGAAGAACAAACCTTCAAAGAGACAAGAGAGCAGCAGTTCCACCATTGACAGCCATTAAAAAGCTTTGAAGCTTTGAATTCAAATTTGGGTTTTCAAAAATCATTATTTATTTTGATTGGGTGTTGTTGAAAATAATTGGGAGTATGTTTTGGAGTTTATATCTCAATTTTGAGGGGTTTTGGTGAAGATTAGACTTGGTTTTGACTGAAATTCAGATTGAAACTCGAAGAAGAAGAAGACGACGACATATTGCAGAAATTGTAGATAAATTATAGATAAATTGTAGATAAATTGTTGACTGTTTTTTGCAGAAGATTTTGTAGAAATTTTAGTCGTTTTGGATTTGTAAAAACAGAAAACAATGCATCTACAATCAGAATACAAATAATCTACAATTTATCTACAAAATATCTACAAACTGGATACATTGAATTTTAATATCCCAATTCCCATTTCAATTGTAGCATAATTGGCATTTTCGACATAATTGCATTTTTTGTAGAAGATTTGAGAGAAGTTTTAGTCGTTTTTGATTTGTGAAAACAGAAAACAAAGCACCTACAATTAGAATACAAATAATCTACAATTTATCTACAAAATATCTACAAACTGGGTACATTGAATTTTTATATCCCAATTCCCATCCAATTGTAGCATAATTGTGATTTTTGACATAATTACGTTTTTTTCAGAAGATTTGTAGAAGTTTTAGCCGTTTTTTATTTGTGAAAACAGAAAATAAAGCATCTACAATCAGAATACAAATAATCTACAATTTATCTACAATTTATGCAATATGTCTTCTTCTTCTTCTTCTTCTTCTTCTTCTTCTTCGAGTTTCAATCTTAATTTCAGTCAAAACCAAGTCTAATCTTCACCAAAACCCCTCAAAATTGAGATATAAACTCCAAACCATATTTCCGATTATTTTCAACAACACCCAATCCAAACAAATAATGATTTTTGAAAACCCAAATTTGAATTCAAAGCTTTCAAGCTTTTTAATGGCTGTCAATGGTGGAAAATATCTGGAAGAATATTTACTTCCATAATTGTAGCGCGCCTAAATAGGAATATCTGGAAGAATATGATTTGATCTGATTTACGCCAAATCTTTTTAGAATATTCTGTTCCTCAATTTTAGCTCGACAAATTAGGAAGATTCAGCTACTATTAATTAGTATTTAATGATTGGTATAATAACTGTAGAAAAAATGTGGACATGGCAGGTAAATTAGAAACTATGCACATTTTTGGTAATGAGGTTTCATATATGGTATATGAAAGAAAAAATCTCTATTCTTAAAGTTATGGGTTTCAGACCCACTATGTATTGCAATTTTAATGAATTTTTACACTAAATTTATTCTGCGCATCAAAAGTACTGAATTTAGATGAACCGGGTATTATAACACTACATACGCCTATGAGCATATATGAATATTTCTTGAATGAACTTTTGAGTAGCTGGTCCAAGTGTCTATAAAACTTAAGCACTAAGCAGCAACACTATGTACTTTGATGACTGCTCCTCTAGCTACCACTTGGAAAATGAAGACAATTTAATGATGGTCCAGCTTAAAACAGCAGTATAGATTTTTTGCTATTTTTTATATTTGAATTTGGTTTTCAAAACTCATTGACGACTAATTTGGATTCATGCCACGTAGCGCACACTAAAGAGAGAATGTTCCTGAGTTTCTCCATCCCGAGGCTCAATATCTGGTTAAGAGTGGAGGGTTTCTATTTAGAGAAAAATACACAACGGAGCATCTTTCAAAAAGTATTTAAGAAAATGATATTAGTTCTTGTTTATTCCATATATAGCATATTTTTTTACAATAATAGCATACGGTGAAGATTATGTGCACAATTAATGAGTAACATAAATTATGGGATCAGTTTAGTTGCTAAATTTAGAATTCAACTCTCTCTCTCTCTTTATTCGAAATTTCTTTCTTTTAATTTAGCATTTTAAAATATTCTTTGAATATTTGTAGTACTTTGAATATTTATATGAATAGTATAAATAAAATATGTCATATACATTGTTTATATATATATATATATATATATATATATATATATATATATATATATATAAGATTCAGTATACTCTGTATATTTATATACTAAAAATACCATTGTAATTTATAAACTATTAATACCATCATTATACTGTGTGTTAAAATTTATATTGACATATAATTAAAAATAAAACTTTATACCAATAGTATATATAATTATACCATTTAATTCGATATTGTTTGACAAAAATTTGTATGGTCATGTTAATTTGCAACAACAAAGAGACATAAAAAAAATTGAAAATAAATGTATGATATGTTTTCAAAATGAAATAGTCCATTATTCTCATATATGTACGTAGCAAGTAGCAACAAAAAAAAAAACGCTCTAATCTCATCATTATTGCTCGGTGCTAATTTAGGAAGTATATTTGCTTAAGGAGAAGAACTGGGATGCTTTGGATATTTTTAGGAATTAAATGCTTTGGATTTTTTTAAAACGTGATTCTAGATCCATATTTATAGCTTGCTGCTAAGAATGTATTTATTTAGCTGCCTATTTTGTAAAATACCTATTGCTGCTAGGTATATGAAATTTTTTCTTAGATATTGCCTACTTATGTTTTTTCCTCTTCTATTTATCCCGTTACACTCTTAATTTGAGATAATTTTGGTGTTTTTTCTTGGCTGAAATCTACTGGATTGGCAAGACATTGATTAGGCCAACTTGAGTTGTTTTGGGCTGACATGTCTGTTCAGTGGCCCAGTTAAACTAGGGGTTTGAGTTCAGAACCTTGAGGTTGCAAACAAGCTAAACTAACTTTTAAAAAGAATGTTTCTCTTTATCATCAAGATGTGTGGTGAGATGGATAAGATTCCTCTATTATTAATCAAAGGTCTCGAGTTCGACCTCAGGAAATTGAGAAATCTCTTATAGGGAGCGCTTCTCCTTTATGCGCCCCTGTTGTACGCAAATCCAAATTAGCCGGATTAGTGGGTTATGAACGCCGGATGGTTACATCTAAAAACAATAATGCTTTGCTTTCAAACTTTTCAATAACTACTGTTCAATATTCTTTTTACAATCACTAGTAAGACATATAAATTAACTTAATATACAAAGTCGTGTGCTTAGTTTGTTAGGATTTGAGGAGTCCATTACTCAAATGGTCACTCAACTATCACAAATTATATTCTAAAGTTACTTTTCTTTCGTTTGTAATAACAAAGTCACTGAACTATGTCTATTGTACTCAGAAGGTCACTCGACTACATTTCTCAAATTTTGGATTGCCAAATACCTATTTTACCCTCTAAATTATAAATATTTATCTTCTTTTTATTTCTTAAAACCTTTTAATATTATGATTTTTTCTTTAATTTATATTATGGACTTACCTATAGAATAAATAAATATTATTTATAAATTAAAAAAATAAAAAGTATTCAAGCATATATAACAAAATAATGAGCATAATAAAAAAAATTAATTAGAATAATTTGTTAGTAATAATAATTTTAGTATTAACAAGAAAAAATCAAAAATTTATTTACAATTCAGAATGAGAGAACATAAATGTTGTAAAATATATATTCCATGCAGGTAATATAAAAATAATTATTTAAATAAAGGTATTTTTCTAATATACATTATATATTCTTGAAAATTATGCTCAATTATATTATATATATTCCATGCACGACATAACATAGCATATTTTACCCTATACAGATAGTCCCCCTGCTTTCCGGTGACATAACTTTGTGTCGTCGGAAAGTTGGTAGAAACATAATAATATAATTGAGCATAATTTTTAATAATATATAATGATTATAAAAATACCTTTATTTAAATAATTATTTTTATATTACGTGCATGGAATATATATTTTTCAACCTTTATTTTCTTTCATTCTGAATTATGTAAATAAATTTTTGAATTTTTGTTGTTAATACTAAAAGGTTTAAAAAAATAATTAAAAAAAAGATAAATATTTATAATTTAGATGGTAAAATAGGTATTTGACAATCCAAAATTTGGAAAATCTAGTTGAGTGACCTTCTGAGTGCAATTCGCATAGTTCAATGACTTTGTTGTTACAAACGAAAGAAAAGTGACTTTAGGAGATAATTTGGATAGTTGAGTGACTATTTAAGTAATTGACTCGGATTTTGCCCTGAATTTCTATTCTATTAGGATTCTCTTTCTTGAAGGAAGGGAAAAAGACTCCTAAAAGGATAAATCTCCTTAATATTTGCTTCTCACAACGACACAACAACTTCCACAATGTAGTCATAAAGAGTTTTGTTTAAGGGGGAGATTTTTCTGTCGATAGTTTTTGAATTCCGCATTAATGAAACTTCTCTTTTATATTAATTTGATCATATGTAGGTCAATTGACCAAACCATATTAAATTATTATGCCTAGTTTAGTATATTT